AGTTGTCTTATGTTTGTTTTACATGTAAAGTGTAGGAATTTTTAAATGTAGTTAGCAGAAAGAATAGAGAATATGTCTATTCCACATTTCCAGAAGCAGAAGTCACTAATGATAATCACTTGGTGACCAGATATAACTTTCCATTAAGGAAATAAAAACATTGTTATTTCTATAACATTTAAAAGAAATGAGTCTTAAAGATATTAAAGTTAACTCTCACTTCTAGGTTACTGTTCTACTTAAATGAGAAATATAAAATGAGCAATAGGATAGTTTTGCAACCTATCAAAATAGAGAATTCCGGGCCGGCCCGGTGGCGCACTGCGCTAGTGCACCGCTTGGGAAGTGCGGTGGCGCTCCCACCGAGGGTTCGGATCCCACATACAGACCGGTTCCCGCTCACTGGCTGAGCGAGGCGCGGGGGCAACACCGAGGGTTGCGATCCCGTTGCTGGTCCCGGTCCGGTGCGGGGGTGACACTGAGGGTTGCGATCCGTTGCCGGACACGGAAAAAAGACAAAAAAAAAAAAAAAAATAGAGAATTCCTTAAGAGGGATATTTGGTTCTCCTTATCAGTGTGTTTTTTATGTTCTTAATTATAAAGTTAAAAATTTAATATTAGGACAGAATATACTGTGATTTTTTTTCCCGATAAACTGCTATGGTCCTCTCACTAAATATTAAGAATTATATGTCATTATACTTCCATATATCTTTTCCTGCCAGCCTACTCAGATCTAAATTTTAATTTATTTGCATATCTTAGATTTTTTCTGGCATCACTACTGTTTCATTACCGTTTATTATACAGCTCTTAGTCTTTGTTTTGTAATTTTAATGTGGCTGTGATGGTTTCAAAATAAACCTTCTCAAATTTTTGTTAAAAACAAATGATGTATAATCAATGGGGCTTTCAGAATTTTATTTAGGATGGAATTAAAGGAAGCAATCTTATTGAAAGGGAATTCTAAGAGACTTTCATTTGAAGTTGTGTTCCTAGAACAAGTGCATTATATTTGTTTAGATTGCTTTTTTTTTCTTTTGTGTGGCTACAAGGAGGTGAAATACAGTCCCCTCCCCCTCCCCTGACAGGTGCTATTACTCTGTGTACATTCATAATTTCATCCATTCATTCATTGATTCAACAAACATTTATTGAAAGCTTAACAAACACTATTCTAGATGCTGGGGATATAGTAGTCTTCTGCTTTTCTGGAAGTTCCATTCTAGCAAATGAAAAGAGAATGTTGTCTATGCTGTCAAGGATATGCCAACATCAGCTCTTACAATTTTGTGGAGGAACTAAAAAATACAACAACTAATGAGAAAAAACCAATAATCATTAGAGTAAAAGCAAACTTATAAAAACACAATTTTCCCTCTAATTCCATAAGCTCAAACTAATAGAAATTATTAGATTATTGGAAGTATCTCAATATGTATTTTAGCTGTGAAATAAAAACAAAAAACAAACAAGTTAAAAACAATTCTGAAAATGATAATTTGAAAATTATTTTCTCTAAATTTCTCTAAACTTAGAATTTTACTATTTTGGGGTGGGGGGATAATATCAGATGGTGGAAAGAATCAGAATTGGGGGTAGATATCTGTTCTATCAATTACTACTGTGTTACCCTAGTCTTTAAGTTTAGTTTCCCATGAGTAAACTGAGAATAGAATACATACCTAGCATGATTGTGAAGATTAAGAAATATGCTAAATTTAACTTTCCTAGCACACTGTTTGGCTCATAAAAATCATGGGGAACTCTGTTTTTCTCTTTCCCCCAGTCCTTTTGCTGTATGCTTATAACTTCCCTTGTCCACATGTAAATGTAACAGATTTTTAGTATATTTTAACCAACATAAAATTGAACAAAGTTTAGAATGCTGTTTTCTGCAACTATTTTTGAAAGCTCCAACTTACAGAGAAAGATTATAATGAAATCTTATTTAAATGTTTTAAACTATTTTAAGAAAATAAGAATTTCTCATTTGAAAAGTAAAGAAATAAGTGCTGAGAAATCCACTTAATCTAGTGGAAGTTATTCCATAGTCTCTACATTTCACAAAGAATAATAGCTCTTACAGCCATTAAAAATAGATTTGAATATTTTAACCTAAGATGCCACTTAATCTAGTGGAAGTTATTCCATAGTCTCTACATTTCACAAAGAATAATAGCTCTTATAGCCATTAAAAATAGATTTGAATATTTTAACCTAAGATGCTCTTTTAACTTACATTTGTATTTTGTTTTGATTTAATAAGCGTTTTTTGTTTTTTCTTGTGGTTAGAAAATTAGTTCATATGGATTATAAGGGGAAAATGAAAAATAAAACAAACCCATCTTGCAATAAATATACAATTTAAAAGTGACATAAAAACCTGATAGCATATAATATAAAGGGTTTTATGGTTTTTTAAGTAAAATATTCAAAATGGCTAAATGACAATATGGTGAAACATAATTTATATAAACAATGTGGTGGGAAATGGGGGCATAGCAGAATGATGGATCTATTTATCAGGTATATACAACTGATGCTATAGTTTAATCTAGCAATAGTATTTATACAATATCTATAAAAATGAATGAACTGAGAATTCTTTAGGCAGTCATCCCAGGAATATTATTTTTCTTAATTATTATTTGATGAATATTAATGAATCTCAGAAAGCAGAATTTGAGGTTAAGTCTTTGACAGTTTCTGAAGTACAAATGTTTTACGTCTTCAATTAAGGGCTGATCCATGCACCTAAAGCCATCAGATAAGCTGAAGATTCTCTGGGGAGTTACGTGCAAGATGGTTTACTCGATCAATAATGAGATACAGAGCCTTTAGCCTTTTGAACACAAGGTCACTTGTAAGCCAGGACAGGGGTGAGCAAAAGTCATTATCGGTCAATACCTTACAAGAGGTAAAATGAATTGCTTAGCTCTGTTCAGTTTTTATGGTCATTTTATAGCTATCTGTTAATCAGTTATAGATCCAATAGGTGACCCTTTACCACTAAAGTTCACTTATCCTAACCAAGATCAAGGTGGTCTTTCAAACCATAGAAGCAAAAAAAAAAAATCTATGAGTGTCACTATTCCTGTTGTTCATTAAACTCTATTCATCTACATTAAATGTAAAAAAAGAATTTAAAATTGTACACTAAATAGAAATATTTTACTTAGATTTTACTGAATTACTATTCAGCTCTAAGCCAAAGCTAGCCATTTCTGTCTTTTCCAAATAAAGCTGTAATGTCTTTTTCTTAGTACTGAAAACCACATTTGAATTATGAAAAGTGTGTGGTTTCCTTGCTCTTTTTAGTAACTAATTGCTGCTTGGATTGTCTGTGCTGGACCTTTTTACTCTTTTACAAATGCAAGGCTTGTGGATTGTTCTGTAGTATATCTGAGAAATAGATGCTTTGTACTTCATATCAGTCAATTGGGGATGCTGAGTATTATGAGTCTTATTTTAAATAAAACCCCATATTATGTACTCTCTAATAGGTCAACAATATGCCTGTAGAAATGAATGGCAAAGATTGAGAAAAGTAAAAAGTGTTAAGACCAAGTAGTTAGTAGTTCAGGGAAAATTTATGTCTTGTTTCCAATCCTTGTGTCCTGGGTCCAGGATTAGGGACACCAGCACATATCTACAATAAAACATAAACAAACATGCACCAGGTTTCCAGTTTTCCAATTCTCAAAGAAAACATTCCATGATTGAATATTTAACGAGAGCCTAAACCTGACACAGAAGTTGACAGATTAATTATGCATAGATCTAGCTTTTAAATAAAAAATAACAGACCATAGGCAAATTGACAGACAAGAACATTCTTGCTTTCCTTAATAATCTCAGCACCTAAGAGAGTGTCTTGCACAGATTGAGGATTTTGGTAATGACTGACTGAATGAATACATAAGTGAATGAATGAACCATTATGACTTAATTTATATATCTTCCGAAGAGTCTGCTGTGGAACTTCACAGATTACAGAGATTAATTGAAGCCTGAGGATCAGAGATTTGCTGGAGAAATTAAATCATAAATCCCATGAAGCATCTCTACTAAAAAAAACAACCATAGAAAACTCTGATCGATTTAGTTCTCTGTTACCTACAGCTAGTATACTTTTGCACTACAGTAAAAGTTTAAGAGCATTATATATGATCCCATTTTTTTTCATGAGACTATACTTTTTCTTCATCTATTTTTCAGTGACAGAATACTAATTGCCCCCAACCACTAGAAGATAAGGATTGGAAAATAGGGGAAGGACGGTTCTGATTATTAATTTCATTAGTTGGTATCTCTGGTAGAAGTTCTAACAGCAGAATTATAAGTGAGTTCCTTGCATACCTGTATAATACAATTATTTATGCTTTCCTTTTTTGTTATTATTTATAATCATTGAGATTAATTTCAAATAATGATAAAGCTGAAGCGTATTTATAAAAATAGGGATATATATGTGTATATGATTTTCATAATTCAGTTTGTGATGCATGAAAGGACAGAGACACTAAATGAGGTGTTTGTGTGTGTGCATGTGAATGTGAACTTGAACAAAATGTTGCTTTCCGGATAAGGCACAGTGGAAAATAAGTATCACAAAATTTTTCCTCAATTTCCTTATGTAGTAGAACAAAATGTTAAACTCCTTCACTCAGACTATACAAACAAAATTCCATAGTCTCTATCATCAACATGATGTTTCTTTTTGAAATCAATGAAATATGAAACAGGAGTGTACCCAGGAAAGGAAAGTTACTTCATGTTTTTCTCATGGGTTTTCCTGATAATAATTGCCTGTGTTTTCCCATTTACCCTTAGCTTCGTCAGAGACCCTTCACCACTCCCGTGGACCCATCCTACCAGAGGTCACAGATCACAAAAAACTTACAGAAACAGGAAATTGAACTTCCTAAGTCCACTACAAACACAGAAAACTGTTTCCTCTACACATCTCAAATTGGCAAAGCTCTGTCTTAGCAGATTCAGTGTGAAAGCAACTGTCGAGTAAGCTAGAAGAACTTTGTCCCCCAATTTCACATGAGCTTTGTTGCTTCAAACTCCTGAGATGAAGGGAGCAAGGTTATTTGTTCTGCTTTCTAGTTTATGGAGTGGGGGCATTGGACTTAACAACACCAAGCATTCTTGGACTACACCTGAGAATGGAAACTCCCAGAATATGACCTCTGCTTCAGTTCCTCTAAATAAAATACAAAGTCACCAAATGCTGCCAACCACTCGGGTCATGTCAGCAGAGACAGCTACAACTCCTGAGACAAGAACTTCTGAAGAGAGTCTTCTAAAATCCATACTGCCTCCTGCAGAGACAAGTGCACCTCCCAAGGGTGTGAGAAACCAAACTCTCACACCCACAAAGAAGACAGAAGAAGGGGGAGTGAAATTACAAAACCCTGCCCTCCCAACCGAATCTACTAGCATCAAGTTCAATCCTGGAGCGGAGTCAGTAGTCCTTTCCAACTCTACGCTGAAATTTCTTCAGAGCTTTGCCAGAAAGTCAAATCAACAAGCGATCTCTCTAAACTCAACTGGAGGCACGGGAAATAGATCCCCACGGGAAACGTACCTCAGCAGAGGTGACAGCAGTCAAAGCCAAGGAACCAGTTACCCAAAATCAAGCTTCGAAACAACTAGAGGAAAGTAAGAATAATTCTTTTCTTTTCTTTCTCTAACTATAAGGTCTATACAATTGCAAGGTAACAGTTTAAACTACTTCACTCCCAGAAAATTATTTCAGGTTTGAGATGAAATTGGATCATATTTGTAGTTTCACCATTTCAGTTAAACAAGGTTATTATTACCTTATGTAACGGGGAAAAGATGAACAAATAAAATGCAGCAATTTTGTTTTAACTGAAATAGTCAAAGTCTCTATTCACTTAGCAAGATGCTTTTACTTGAGATAGTCACCACCAAACAAAGTAGCACCGTGTTGGCTGTTAGTTTATTTAATTCAACTCAAGGGTATGTTGGTTATGCTCAGAACTATAACCACAATGTGAAAGAAAAAAATCAACAAAATTGGGACATATACAGATTTGAAAATTGATCTGAAAATTTAAATAGTGGTGTTGTGTATAGTATACAATTACCAAAGATTAAACCAAGCAGAACTGGGATGTTCCTGGCTTCAGTACTATCTAGATCCATGACTTTGAGCTAGTCAGCTCATCTTCCTGAACCTGTTTCTTCATATTTAAAATACCAATATGATACAGGGAATGCAGATAAAAAATACAACTTTGCAGGGTTATTGTGCAGAGCTGAATTAACTAAATGTGCATAGGTGCATGCCTCTCATAGAGTAGGTATTCAACAAATTACATGTTACTAGTACTGTTATTATATTGAGTCATGCTGTCATCGTAAATGTGATGATTCAGAAAAGCCTATTTTCCAATTGATTTTGATTTAAAGTTAGAGCAATTGGAATTGTTGAAATAAAATAATAAAACAAAGCTTGTCAAGGAAGGCTTTCAATGGGACCAAAAACCAAACCAAAACAAAGATTGATTTTGATTTAAAGTTAGAGCAATTGGAATTGTTGAAATAAAATAATAAAACAAAGCTTAAAAGGGTATTGTCAAGGAAGGCTTTCAATGGGACCAAAAACCAAACCAAAACAAAGAAAAAAATACCTGTGCAGTCAAATGTTTTATTCATTTAATGTTAAGTCATCTGTATGTTTGGAATACCAGAAGTTTAGTGTTACAAAACTAAACTTACAAATACCTTTTAACTATAATAAAGCAATTTCAAGACATCAAACATGCTTTGGGAGCTACATTGAGTTAAGTATCTTACTAATAATGTAATAAAATTCCAGTTAAAAATAGTGGTTGACACCTGCTATATGAAAGGCGTTTTGTTAAAGCTGTTTTTGATACAAGGATGAGGAGAGAGACATGGGGAAGAGTACTAGCCAAAGAATTCATATTTGTGCATTCTTTATTATGCAAGTCTTTTTTACTGTATTTCAAAGGATATCAAATTTTTGAAAATGTATAAGTAAATTTGATTTCCACCAAAAACTTATTCACTTGTTGGAATTTGGAACAATCCCAATTTACTGTAAAACAAATGCTGTAGATTACAAAATGTAAGTCATGGGATGTGTAGATTTTGCCTGTAACAGACATTTAACAGATACGTATTACTCATTCTCATTTGGGTGGAAAACAGGAGCTTGTCTAGTAAATAATAAAGACAAATGCCATTTATTGAGAGCCTTTTCTAAATCACTTACATGTATCACTTCTACTAATTATATTTTATTAGCATTTGTAATTCAATTTTTTTAACTGATTACCATAGAATCCTTTGACATTTATGAGAAACTATGTGAGTTTTTCAGAGATGCTGTAGTCAGGAGCTTTTTTTAATGGAATAGGAAATAGAATTTTAAAAAATACCATAGAATCCTTTGACATTTATGAGAAACTATGTGAGTTTTTCAGAGATGCTGTAGTCAAGAGTTTTTTTAATGGAATAGGAAATAGAATTTTAAAAAAAATTCTAATTAAAATATCACCTAAATTTTATATAGCATATAGAAAGTAGTATATAGTTGTGTCATAATTAGAACTAGTAATTAATAGTTTGGCAAATATTAGTTTCTAAATAGATGCTAGTTGTTTTATCTAAGGCCCTCACTTTCAAAGCATGAGAACACTTGCTTATTTGATAATTGTTCATAAATTCCCTATCAATGCACTGTTCTAGGCTCTGGGGATACATAGAATTAAAAAATAACAATTCCTGCTTCTAAGGAATATTTCCTATAAAAAGTGAACAACAACATATATCAGATTTCAAAAAATTCAATATATGTTACAAGATATATTAAAAGATATTAAAGGATATTAAACCAGATATTAAAGGTGTAACTTAATGAACAGAACTTCAATGAAAATAATCTTAAATTTTTTTATGGACAAGTACCAACTACACTTAGAAATTTTACAGCATGAAATCCTAAAGAGCCTGAGGTTTTCTTTTAGTAATTCTTTCCATTAAGTCCAAGGCAATGTAAATGACAATGGTATTAGGGAAAACGTAGGTGCCTCTCTTATGGACACAGTGCTGAAGTCTTGATAAGGTCAAAAGAATTCTTTCATATTTTTATTTGATTAGCAAATAGTAATAATAATGATATCAAACCCTTATATAGCATTTGTTTCTAGTGCTCTACTGTTCTGAGTGAAATATATGTATGTATATATTCACTCATTTAATTGTTACCATAATTCCATAAGGAAGAGGAAGATTCTATCATTATTTCTTTACAGAAAGGTTAAGTAACTTACCTAAGATTACTTAGCTAGCAAACTTCAGGACAAAGATTCAAACCCAAGCTGTCTGGCCTCAGAGTCATAGGTCCCAACTCCTGTGCTACACTCCCTGTGCAGGTACAGTCTATTATCCCAAGTGGGCAAAGAGGAGTGACCAGTTCACTTCCCTGCTTATGAGCCTTCAGAGGCTATTTTTGCCTCTAGAATACAGCCCAGATTGCTTATCCACTTAATCATACAATGCTGTCCGTGGCTGGCTCCTGCCCACCTCCAGAGCCTCATTTTCTGTCACTTTCTGCCTATTTAAATTTGTAGTTCTCTCGTCTACAATATGCTACCTGTTTGTCTCTCTGGCTACCATGATCTTCTTTTCCCACCACCTACTCTTTTTACACCTAATAATAATACTTCCAGGCAGCCTTTTCAGGCTAAGTTTGGTGGCCCTTCTAACTTCTCTGTGGCTCTCTGAAATCTTCTGTCACACACTTACAATGGTGTATAATAATTATAATGAACTTGTGATCTTTTCGCATATAGGGACATATTTTCAGTGCTAGCAAAGTCTCTGGCTTACATTAATTACACAATAAATATTTAATCAAACTGAATGTGAGATATAAGGGTCAATATGTAAATATAAAGAAGAATTTTTTTCCAGAAGAAATATTCTTATTTTTCTACGAAAAACCTGGCTAATTTGGGATAAACTCATCTTAGTTTTTTTCCCCCCTTACAGTTCATAGAATTTTATAGTAATTCTTAGTTAGAGGAATACTTATGCCTATGACAGGTTCTTTTCCATAGGATTATCTGGCATCCTTTTGTCTCATCTTGTATCTTCTCTCGTTTTAGCACGGCAGGAACTCCTGGCTACAATACAGCTGTGGTTTCCTGTCTGGCATAGTGGGTGTTAGTCAATGACCAAGCTTTGAAATAGGCAGGATAAAAAGAAGAAATAAGGGCTAGTGTATTTATGTGTAGAACAAGTATTTGCTGAACTCCTAATCTGTCCCCAGGACTGTGCTTGGGCTAGGAACAAAACAGTGAACAAAAACTCCAACATGTTTTGTGTTCATGGAACCTGCAGCCCAGTAAGGGATGTGAGGAGAAAAAACAATGAATCTCAAATGCTTATGTTAAATCAAACAGTGATGGACACTCCAAATAAAGCTTATGAGAGTGTATAACAGGGTGAATAGCCTACCCCTTCTGAATGGGTCAGGAGGCCTTGTTTCAGAGGATAATAGGTGAAAAAAAGGTATTGATATAATCCAACTGCCCACTTAACTTCTCCCACATTTCCCCATCCCTGAACACATGTGTCTTGATGTTTACCATCTGAGTGAATGACAAAATCCGTAACTACGAACTTTGAATATATCTTATTGATATAATCCAACTGCCCACTTAACTTCTCCCACATTTCCCCATCCCTGAACACATGTCTTGATGTTTACCATCTGAGTGAATGACAAAATCCGTAACTACGAACTTTGAATATATCTTTGACATTTTTCTCTACTCCTTGATTTTTATTTAATCTATCAAAAAATCTTCTTGTCCCTACAATATATGCCAAATCTTTCAGCTTCCCTACACCTTAGCGGCTACCATGTTTCCTAGTCACCATTATCCACTAATCTCCTAACTGGTCCACATCCTTCCATAATTCATGCTTCATACCCATGAGAGATCTTTTGAACATTTAAGTAGGATGAATGCATTTCTTAATGTAAAACTTCATTATTGTAAGTGACACATTATTTTAGGTACTAACAAGAAAAAGTATGACATCATACTTTCCTATATATAATTTTTAGATTTATTTAACTTTTAGACTTTGAGATTTTTTTATCATATGTCATTCTTTTGCCAAGTTAAAATCAAAATATAAATGAAACTGGTTAAGACTTTTTTTTTGTTGTTGTCCTTTTTGAGACCGGCCACACTGCGCTCAGCCAGTGAGCACACCGGTCATCCCTATGTAGGATCCGAACATGCGGCGCCGCTGCGCTCCCAGCGCCACACTCTCCCAAGTGCGCCACGGGCTCGGCCCTGGTTAAGACATTTTTAAGGCAATGGCAATAATTACTGTTCTACCAATAATGACTGAAAAACACCATTAATTTTTTAAAACATTCCAGATTTCAGAGATGTGTGTTTTAAAATCTGTGAGACTGGGTATTTCACTCACTGTCACTTGGTATTTCACTCACCGTCACACTCCACGCTCACTCCACTTCATTTCCTCCAGCCTCACTGGCTTTCCTTATGTTTGTTGAGCATGTCAAGTTAATGTACATCTCAAGGAAACTCCTGTTTGCTCTTGCTGCAACGTGCTTCCTTCGG